ATTATTTCGGCGTGAAACAAGTTTTCCCGGATCCGGGGCGGAACAATTTGAAAAGTCACAATCAGTTATTTTCCCAGCCGAAACAGCAACGTTTGATTTCGCACACTGACTGTCGAAACGATTCTACCGTACGATTGAAGCACAACATACAATCAGACATGATAATTCTATCTCGGGTTACAGACCCAGCAAATTAGGTCACACCATGCCTTCAAGAGCTGTAAATATATGTAATGTGTACTGTTTACAATAAACAAGGCGATTGGGCATTTCGTCCGCCATGCGGGTTTTGACCAACAAGTAAACATAACATATCCATGAACTGGCCAAAACCATGTTCTTCAACGTTTTAGGGGGAACCGGGTTAATAAAGAGTGTCACGTGGATCCAACTAATATCTTTGTGAAACGGTTGACATTTGCCCAAACAGATTTGCATCTACGCTACTTATAATAGTCCACTTAGGACATTCACTCCATACTAAAGATGGTTCGGCGTATGTTTCATGCCTAATCGATATGCTTATTTAGGTGACGCCTTTTCAGTGCCAAAAAAATTGTAGTTCGATTAATCGATCACTTACGTAAAGCGCGATCGGTCCACTTTAATAATGAAAATCAAATGAGAGTTGTTCAGCCCGTCTGATTGAAAAGAATATCATTTTTTTCCTTCTGATAATAATAATAATAATAATTCAATCCATTGTTCAATTTGAATATTGTATCATGATTCCAGTTCTCACATACAGTCTACCTGGTATCTCCATTCCTGAATTGTCACAAATGGATCAGTGGCCGGCAAAAGCACCCGTGATAGTGAAATAAAATATTTCCGTGATGGTTTCGTTTATCTGTCTACTTATCTCGCACTGATACAGTTATTGCCTTCTCTATTTGATGAGCTGTTAATTTATCCAAATCCTCTGTAAAACTGAACACTTTGTCGCCTCAACATATCAGTCGCTTTTATACAACAAATCCTCTCGAATTCTACCAACCATCGTTATCGAATCACAATTACAAGTGAGATTGAAATCGGAGAAGCTGATAAAGACTAGCCCGGACCAACCCAAAGTGATTTTAAAATTCAAGCTGTGACACGTTTTATACTCTGCGAAAGGCAAATTTTTAACAATCATCCAACAAACACCCAATGAGAATATTAACATACAAACCGAAAATCAATACGGCATCCAGTATATAGAAATATTCCCGCTCCATTTCCGTTCTCTAAAGAAGGAAATAAGTGCCCTACGAATTGCCAACATAACCAGCAAGACATAGAAGAATGGTGTTCATTTAATTAAATATATATGCAGCAGGGAAGACAGATTTCGTTTTTTGTTTAGACCGAAATCCATTCATTTCTTATTTCTGGAACTGTCTTAACTACACCGTAACAACAAAACCCTTGCCACGTTGGGCTCTCGTGGCCGAATTTTGCGATACATTTTGCTTACTTATGGAAATTCAGTAGTTGAAATTAGTCGCTACTATCTACACTGAATTATGATGAATATTCATCCTGCTTAACCCAGAGTTCCGAGAGGGAGTATCGAAATAATCACCCAGTAATGCTGTTTTCTGCAATGGTGTGAGAGACAACCAAATCGTCTACAACATGAACACAGTCACACGTAGAAGATTCTACTTGAGAGAGAATTACTATGTATATTTATTTTTCTTTAGGTTCCTTGGGATCCTTTGATTAGGATTTAACCACTTTTAGTTCGTCACTTGGTCAGCTGTGTATCAGGAAAAAATAAACTAGGGGACTTTTACTCAGCAAAATTTATCCCACCTCCGAAAAGATTCTGACCAACTCGGATGATATGACCTTCTGGATCAGCTATTTTGCAGCTATTACAATCGCTAATTTTCATCCTTTTATCAAACTTCATAATAACCTATTCATCGAAAGCCTACATAGACAGGCAATTATTTACAATTCAGGAGTTTCTGCCCTGTGACTACAAGCGTGGCTTGGTGCGCACTCTATTCCACAGGGTTCGCCGACTATGAAGCCCGCGATTCCTGCCAGACGGACTAAACCGATTGGCCCATGCTTTGTTAGACCCATCACATGCATTCACAAGTACATCAAGCCGATCAACACCAAGCCTATTTCCCTATTAGCTGAGAAGAAAGGTTTCCATACAGAATTACCTTTCAAGGGAGATGATTCGATAATAAAGTTACCTCGTCGTCTAACACACACCGTGGAAAAGATGTACAACTCCGCAAGACTAATGATTGTCTACGGGACGTTTTGTTGTCTCACACGCACTATTCCGGATCGAGAAGAAGTTAATGTTACCTCCAACTGCATCTTTTCATTTCAGTGTACCTGCGGTCAGCGGTACATTGGAAAGACAGAACGTCATTTAGCAACCAGAATGTGTGAACATATCCCGAAACACCTTGGTCTTCGAGGAGGGAAATTACCATCTAGCGCGATTGTCCGTCCTTTGTTAGATTCCGGGCACCATGTAAACGCACCCAAAGCGTTTCGAGTCATTGTGAGACCTCGAAGTTCACTGACTTTGCGATTTTTAGAAGTGATAATTAATAATCGCTTGAAACCGCAAAAGCCATTTGTAACGTAATTGTTGCCGCCGTGGTAATGATGATGTCACAATTGATACCATAATGTGACATGACCTTCCCTCCCTTCCATCCACCACATTCACCACATCGTTTGGACCCGTTCACCTCCGTATTAAAGTTTATCATCTAATTTCGCCTAAATCCCTAAACGAACACAAATCACGCAACTCACGTATCCACCAACTTGTTGAAATGACTAATTTCATCTCTTATGTGTCTTTGTTGTACATGATCATATAAATGTGCATTTACGCCTGAATGAGAGCACGCAAAAAAGGATGACCAATGTGAATTCTGCCCGCATATCTTCTTGTATTGATGACATGGATAAAGGGAAAGGATGTTATACTTGATAAAACCTTTGAGCCATTGACAATACGATGCGGTACAGTAATCCACTTCTGAAAGCTGAAGTAACGAATAAAAAGGAGTTGGGTGGTAAGTAGTAGCTACACAAAGCAAATAAAAAGGTGAATTCAACCCTAAGGTGAATTTATTTGATAAGGAAGTCTGGGCTTCACGCCAATCACACAAGTCTATCTTATGTTCAATAGAACTCATCGTTCACGTAGATAACTTTATTATGGCACCACTTTGTCCAGTGCGGATACGAAAACATTCCTCGCCTTAAGGAATTTGGTTTCCGTAGTAGACAGACGCTTCTGCTTGCAGGAAGCAATGTGCATTTTTACTGATTTTCTGTTAAACTCTGATTGCCTACTTCATGGTCAGTAGGCAACATCCGACCGCCATCTGATTGTGTGCATAGGTCGAAAGAATTGAATCGGACTGACCCTATGATTTGCCTCAGCTGTTATAGTGCGCTTCCGTTTCTGACAAAAGATAAACAAATGACTTTGTATTTACCAATTCCGATGATGAGGTCATCCAAGCTCTCGGAATGTTGCCCACTGGTTGTGGCGTCATACTTAAGTATTTTATCTTTCACCCAAGTCACGTAGTTACAGTCACAGTTCCGGAAGGTTCACGACTCATTGAATGTTGTCCATAAATAGGTGTAAATAAGGCAACTCTTGTGGTTTTCAAATGTAACTAAATGACTTCCTTTACCAGCTGATTACTACGCAATCCAATTATAATCATATCCAATCGGCTGAGCAAAGTGAATTACAAAACATAAATAAATAAGTTTACAGCATATCACTAGCAAGCGCGATCTAATCACCTTCGTAAACCGTTTGATCGACAAAGCAAGATGGTTTCCTGCTCAACACACTATTATTCTTCAGTATATATCCTGGACTTTTGAGTAGGGATTAAGCTAATGTCTGATTACCGTACAAGCGCAGAGAAAGTTTCAAAGTTATCTAGATCGATTTGTAAAATTGAAAATAGCTCACCGAATACTACCCATTTGCGTGTTCACATGAAGGGTAATAGGTTTCAACATTTATCGATAGAAGTAGTCCCATTTAAATGTATTTCACTTTATAAAGACAAAGTCGTAGAAACTGCAGAAACTGGAACACTGATAAGCACTGTACAAGTATTTGAGCCTTCGGATGCATCATCAACAGTGAATGGGAATGGAACCCAGTGAAGTTCGAACGGTAAACAAACAAGTATCCTGGGGCATTATCAACCGATTGCTACGATCTACGAACGGTATGCTGCAATTCATCTGGGCAAACTTATTGGACTTTACTAACCTTACTCCACTGGACCCTATGTGCTAAGGTAATGATTGATGAAGAAATACTCCGAGCCCAACTACGTGGTATGTATGAGTTGCTAACAGATTCATAACCCCGGAAATGAGATGAATGAAGTTAGATCTTGACAATACTTTTGCACTGTATTTCATTTGGATGAAATGAAGCAAGTGGATCAGCTCTCCGATGTTCAAGTCTTTAGTGTGCCTATATTTCCCTTCTGTGCTCCGGAATCCAAACCTCAGTTGGGTAGATGAATTCACAATGCTGCGTAAAGCCAATCAGGTTGAAACAGCTAAATACTGCTTCATAGATTTCCGCTGCTTGTTACATGGCAAAATTCATTATGAAACGCGTTTTATCTATGGTCATTTTTTATCACATCCGTTTAATGTCGGTCAGACATTGAACGACCTCATCAAACGGCATTTGGTGTGTGTTCAGGTAATTATGCCTATCTACGTTTCAATGAATCAGGTCACAAATCAGCTAGCTGCCATGTCATGTGACCAAGTGTGTTATGATTGTTCGGATTCTGCAATGCTGGTTGATTCATCGATCGGTCAGCTGTTTGGTCCGTGTGTTTATGAGGTTATAAAGTAGTACATGCGGATGCGCACAAGCACGTACATATATCTGACGATAAGACCAACGGGTTTCGATTGAAGCGGTGAAAACCAACTTTTACAAACTTGCTCACACAGACTAAAGTTATTCCCACATGGGATTGCGGTCTATCTGGCTTGGATTTTTCGGTTCTACCGAATGTTCGATTAGCGGTCGATTGGATGGACTCGTGGCTGTTGTGACCGGGGCAAACACCGGTATCGGACTGCAGCTGACCGCCGAGTTGGCCCGACGTGGAGCGCGTGTAATAATGGCTTGTCGCTCAGAGGAAAAATTCCAATCTGCCAGCAGTTATCTGCTGTTGGAATACGGTGAACAAAACGGACAAACAAACAATCAGCAGTTAACGGAAATCAAACCTGAACAAGTAGGTGAACCCATGTGATCATATATTTGAATCCCAAGTCCGTTTACGAGAACAATACTGTGGAATGTTCATTCTTTTCTAATCATTTTGGGTTAACCTCCTAAAATAATGAAATAGAGCAAATTTTTGTTCACAGCAAATTCAACCAGTCATATATCTGTCTCACTGTGGCTAAATTATAAAAGTTAACATATCGTAGGATTTGTCCTTATGAAAAGTAGTAAATGTTTGTGACTGATGATCTGAGGCAACCCTGAATGACGCTAAACCACAGCAGCACCAACTGCTTCGGTCACGTGATGGGCACAAAATATTCACATTCTTTCTCTTCTCGTGTATTTGTTCGCCACAAAGACCGATCAGCTTTGGAGAGTCTTCGGTATGCAAAACGTTGGTGTGGGACACGGAAAAGTACCAGAAGTCATCAATTACGAGCATAAAATTAGGATGGAACACTAACAAGTCATACGGACACTGAAAAGATGTTACATCTTTCTCTCTGAATAGCAATGGTAGTCCATCGGCTGATGGTAATTGCTTCGGTAAATCACAGATACCTTACAGATGACTGGGACTTTGAGATGACAAAATTCAAAGTGGGTGTTTATCTGAAAGAACGACTAAGGAGGTTGGTTTTGACCTTGCTGAGGTGGGATATATTGAACCCACAAAATATTTCCAGAGAAAAATCGCAAGGATTTTTGAGGTTGATTGGTCTCGAAATAAATTCCCGGAGTGCCTCGAGGAGCTTACATGGTAGTTTGGAGAAATATTACCCGTGGTAACTGAGACGTACATTGATTACCAACTTTTTCGACTACTTACTGTTTAATGCATTTTATACATACATATGTATATATTTATATGTTAAACAGGCGGTGCGAGGAGACATGTATCTGCGAAGGAAATCAGAGTGTAACAAGAGGTGATGGAATTATGATAATTGATGTTTGTGAGTGTGTATTTCTGTGTGTATGCATCGAAAGTGGAAGCCAGAGGGTGATTGTGAATGGGTGAGTAGGTGAATGAGTAAGAGTTCATGAACGGAGGTCACGTCACCAGATTGTTAGTGGATGGCCGATGTTCTTAAAAACTGTTTTTGGGTCCACAAGGGGGATGTGGAAACGGCTGGCAATCGCCTCGGCTGTTGACATAATTCTGAACTTGACCTCTTTGGATAAACTACCCTTGATCGTATAGAGAGGACGGAAAGGCTCAAGCACATTGACTGTGTGATTAGACTCAGTCAAATGGTTCGTAATTGCCGTCGCCTTGGCCCTTGTCAATCCCTGATTCAACCATTAGACCCACATGACTTGCTCCACAGGAACAAATGAATGGATAAACACAACATGAGGTCGCATCCGGGGCTAATCCATCTTTAGTCTGCATTAAGAGAACCAGTTTGGACGTGAATACAATGCTAGTTTTATGAATTCTTACTCATTCACCGACTCACCCATTCACAATCATCCTCTGGCTTCTGTTTTCGATGCATACACACGGAAATACACACTCACAAACATCAATTATCATAATTCCATCACCTCTTGTTACACTCTGATTTCCTTCGCAGATATAGATCTACTCGCACCGCCTGTCCCAAAATCTCTCACTCTTTTAACCAAACGTGATCTGAATGTATGTACACAGTTGATGAGATTACCACGAAATAGTTGAATTCAACACATCCTGTGATCATGATGCTTCTTCTTGCTCTCATAACCTATTCTAATTTGTGCTGTATTTGCCCAGTTGATATAGCACCTTATACGAGCTTGTTTGCTATTTTGTGTTCTCATGACTACTCAATCGGAAATAAATTCACATCTGTAATCTACCGGGCCAAGATGAACATCTTGCATGCTAAATGGGGGGGGGCTTGGTAGATTTCAAGTGTCGATCAAATGAGTAAACGTTTGGCATGTCTCCTGATGTCGTAGCGCAAATGGTCGAGCTTTCACTCTACAGTTTCTTATACTGCTTCTAACACAAGTTATCTTCACTCCATTATCCTGTTAAACAACTTGGTCCGTGTTCGAACTTATAACTGCATTTTCAAATGAATTATTCCAAGTGGTTTACTGCTGTAAAGTTTTGGATCGGCCAATAATATCATATGCTATTTATTTGATTGAACTGCGGAACAGATATTGCAGAATTCATAGTCATTTCTATTTGCCACTAAGGAATTTGACAGTTTGGCCTTTCGTCTGTATCAAAAAGGCTAACACAACTGGTCTAATCGATGCTCCATCAATCAAGTGGACACCTCATTCTTTTTGCCGGAGGTCAACTCAAAGAAATTAGCATGACCTCTCAATAAATTATCCTACCNGACCTCTCAATAAATTATCCTACCTTGTGGTTTCCTGACTGAAAGTTCGTTCTCATTACAAGAACATCTTTTATTATAAGACAATAGGAATCCTGATTTGCTGATTTAATAACTTTTTATCGCACCACACAATAACAGACAGTCGTGCAAACATGCACGTATATCTGAAATAATATATTGTTCTATGTTGAGTAGTATATGACTGGGAAAAATCCGCCAGAAGCACATTACAGTCAGGCAAACATGCACGTTTACCCGAAATAATAGATTTATATTCAAGGAACCGTTGTATGCAGTTTGTGGGAAGACAGAAATGCTTGACCGAAACCCGCTGCATTTTCAAAGGAGTATAATGCATCGTAATATAATAATTTTATCATAC